TGAGTATAGGTCAGGTTCATCAAATTGTAGCAATTTGAGAGCAAAAGTTAGAATTGACCAGGCAGATTTGAAAAAGATCCAAGTCAAGCCTCTGATGATAAACAAATACAGTCATTGCAATTAGAAGCTCACTGGATGGTTTTAAACAGCACACAGGACACAGCCGAAGGCACAGTTAGTGAACTGGTTGGTAGATCTAAGGAAAGCACCCGGAAGAGAGTATAAAAAGACAGAGCCATGGCATTTAGGCGATGGAAGAAACACACTTTAACTGCTAAGACTGAGGGGAAGAGAGTGGTTAAATCTGACCTCAGGTTTGGGGGATTGTGTGGCTTCAAGCTGCATTTGTTGTCCTTTTTCTAGGCTCCAGGAAAGAGCTGAACTCCAGTCCTGAAACTTCTTGCAAGAAAGTGAAATGGTGCAGCTCTGTCAGATCTCCCCCATCATCTCTTTTCTCAGATAGTGACAGTTCTGAGTCTGAGGATTTCTTGAGTCCATCTGCAAGGCCCAGAGGTACAAGTTGGGGTCAGTCTGGCCAGACTCCAGACGGGAGAACAGCTGCCACAGATCAAGCATCTCCTGCCCCTGCCTCTACCCCTATCCCAACACCTTCCCCAGCCTTCTAGCCTCTAGTCTCCCCTCCATTCTGTCCCCTCATGGTCCCAGAAGGGTTTCAGCTCACAGCTCCCTCCTACTCTCAACACTTGGCAGCTGAGGTCCTCACCATTTTAACCCTTACCACAACCTTGTGCACAGAACGCTCGTTGTTTGGAAATAACTTTTTTTTTGGAAATAACTCTTGATAATGGCCATTCCCCTCTCCAGTACATTCCCACCTCCTTTGTTTGTCTTTCCAACACTGAAAGACCTAATCTCTAGGACTGCTTGCACCGAGGCCGCCTCTTCTCTCTGCAGACCCTCTCTTCAGCCTCCTTGTGGACCTCTGAACCTTTGCACTTAACTCTTCCTTTTGTTTAGGTGGCTCTGCCCACATCTCTCTTCTTCATTTCCTTCAGTTTTTTATTCTGTTGTTACCTTCACAGAGAAGCCCACCCTGACATATCTAGCTAAAAGTGTATCCCCCCCCTGCTTTAGACCTGAGTAAAACCAGTGAAACATTTAAGAGGGTCAGTTAAAAAGTATGTGACTGGAATTCCAGTTCATATGTGCATGGGTTGATTCCACACAAAATGTATTTAAACTTGACTCTGGAGAAGGATATCATGTTTGGTAAGGTGGAGGGTCAGAGAAGGAGAGGAAGACCCCCAATGAGATGGGTTGGCCAAGTGGCAGCATCGATGGACTCAAGCGTGGCAACAGTAGTGAGGTTGGCTCAGGATGGGCAGTGTTTCATTCTGCTGTGCATAAGGTCGCTGTGGGTCAGTACCAACTCGATGGCACCTCACAACAACAACAGCTGCGATCCGTGGAGGACTGCAGACAAGTTCTCACAGTAATATACTTGTCTAGTCTCAGTAGTCCTCCTTCAATGTAAGGTCCAGTCAAAACTGTGACTGTTGAGGGGATCCTCTGGGCTAGTTCAGTTCAAGACAGAGACATCAAGTCAGAAGGTGGTGGGAACTGATTTTGGGGATTCCACTGGGGTCATCTTCATAGATTTTCTTTAAGGACACAGGACAATCATGAGGGCTTACTAGGGAGACATTTTAAGATAATTGTGAAATATTAGTGAAAAACTGGCCAGGGAAGTTGCACCAAGGAATTTTTTTCCCATCCTGGCAATGCACCAGCTCATTCTTCCAGGGTAACAAGGGCTGGCCTATGGTCATTTCATTGTGAAATTTTACACCACCCACCCTACAGCCCTGATCTTGCCCCTTCAGACTTCTTTTCATTCCCAAAGCTCAGAGAACAATGAGAAGGAACATGATTTGAGTTACTCAAGGAGGCCCAAACTGCCATTTTGACATGGTATAAATCAGAAGGCACAGAATTCTCCAGGGAAAGCTTGTTATTAAGTGCTGTCGAGTCGGTTCCAACTCATAGCCACCCTGTATAGGGTTTCTGAGGAGTGGATTTGAACCACCAACCTTGTGGTTCCAACCGACCTTGTGGCCCAGTGCTTATCCTACAGCGCCACACCAGGACATCAGGGAAGGATAGAGAAAACTTTTCTGACAACTTAAGGCTAATCATATCATGGGGAATGGTTACATCATTACATAACTGCTGAGCCACTGGACACCATGGCCTAGCCACGTTGACACACAGCCTTCACCATCACACCCTTCATCTCCCTCTCTGCCTAGGATTTCCTGGTGGTCCGTTCAGTAGCTGTTGCTGCTAAGTGTTGTCAAGTTTGTTATGACTACAGCCTAGGGAACCCTATGAGACAGTTATGTCCTGTCACATGGGGTCCCCGTGAGTCTAAATCGACTTAATGGCACCCAGCCATAGCCGCCTTGGCACAGGACCCAGAACGTTGCTGGGCGCAAAGCTCCGTGCTGAACACCTCCTAAGTACTGAACTGAATGGATGGAATACTGTTTTGCCTGGGCTCCTGCCGCCACCCTCATGTGATCCTGTGTCTCCCTCTAGGCTCCAAGTCCCTGTCTGCCTCACTCTCTGGACTGGGTGTCTCTCGTAGACAGAAAGCAGGTATGACTTAGTATCCCCAGCCAGCACCCATCCACCTCCTTCCTCCTGGGCCCTTGGGTCTGAATTCTCCACCCCTCAGAGTGGATTCAGAGTGGGAGGCCAGGGTGATAAGGTCCTCTCTGCCTGGTCCACCGCCCTTTCCACAGTCAGGGAGCCCTTCAGGGCAGGTCCTATCGTGGACAAATTCCGGGCCAGCTCCACAATGGTTTCAGGATGGATTTGGTTGTTTTGAAGAGTCCTAGTGGTGCAGTAGGTGAAGTATTAGACTACTAGCCGAAAGGTCGGTGGTTCTAACCCACCAGGAGACAAGTGAGACTATCTGCCCCTGTAAAGATATAGTCTTGGAAACCACATGTTAGATCAGGATGAGTCAGAATCAACTCAACAGAAGTGGATTCGGCTGGGTTTTTCCGTTATTTGTTTTGTACTGCGATGAAAATACATATAACAACCCCCCCCCACCTTGACGATTTCTGCCTGTTGAGTTTAGTGATGCTGAGTCCACTCTTCAAGTTGTGCCGCCTGTCCCGCTAGCGCGTCCGAATCCTGCTAGAACCTCAGTCTCAGGCTGCTTCTCATGAAATGTCTGAAGTGCTCCTTCTTCCCCTGGCAACTCAGAGTCCCTGGGTGGTGCTGACAGTTAGGCACTCAAAAGGTTGGCAATTTGAGCCCACCAAAAGATGCCTGGGGAGACAGGCCTGGCTGGCTGCTTCTGACGGCTCCCAGGTTAAGAAACCCCACGGAGCACAGGTCTACTCTGTGCACCTGGGAACACCACGATTCAGCGTCGACTTACCGGCAACTAACACCAGCAGAGCAGCAAACTTCTATTCATCCAACAAGACCCAACCCAAATGCTCCCTCCTCCAGGAAGCCTTCCCCAACTTCTCCAGGCACCGTCAGTCTCCTTCTCCTCTGGGTTCCCATATTTCTGTGGACTGCCCCACCTCAGACTTGAATCTGACTGATTGTGTCCAGGTCTGACTCCCCCACCAGGCCTGGGGCTCCCATTGGAGCCCCCAGCAACGTTCCACAAAGAACCTGGCAGATAGAAGGCCCCAGGAAGCATTTGTCAAATGAACAAATGGATGGAAGGATGATGAATGAATAGTATTCCAAGCACTGACTCTGCCCCAACCAACTCCTGTCTTCCATTTGCTCTTTCTTCATTAGACCAACCTCCTGCAGGGTCTTGCAGCAAATCCCCAACCACCAAAGGCAGCCCACAGGCGAACCGACAAAGCCCCCAGGCCTTGAAGCGGAGTCGAGTGACCACCTCACTTGAAGCCCTCCCCACGGGGACAGTGCTAACAGACCAGAGTGGGCAGCACTGGACGCTGGGATCCCTCCAGACCAGGGATGACCAAGGCATTCTCTATGAAGGTGCACTTTGTCCTCAAGTGGGTGGGTGTTGGGCCATTTCAGGGCTGGTACAGGGGACACGGACACGTGCGTGTGTGGTTGGGGAGGGTCTCTTTTTGAGACTGGGAATGGAAGCCACATCCCCAGTTACTGACCTGCCTCTAGGCAGTTTTCTCTGAGATCTGAGATTGCAGACCTACCTCCAAGGAGCTAGGCCAGTAGCATACATGAGTCCAGCAGGTGGGGGCCGGTGATTGGGAGTGGTGGTTAACTGGAACCCACTGGAGAGCATGTACCCTAAGGCGTTTGCTGCTCTTCAGCTCCACCTCCTGGTGCCATGTGAGAGTGCAGAACCAGCATGGCCACAAGATAAGGATGCTGATGATTCTTGCAGCCACCCTACAAGACAGGATGGACAGCCCCACCCAGCATCTGGTTCTGATGTCAAGACTGGTGACGTCTCTCTCTCTCTCTCTCTGTCTCTCTCTCTCACACACACACACACACACACATACACACACAGCAAGAGGATCTAGTATAGTGCTTACATCATTGAGAGATCTGGGAAGAGCAAGGCAGACCTCCCAAGCAGGTTTGAAATGGCTCCAGAGAGAGGAGGCAAAGGAGAGTGGCTTGGGGCTTCTATTGTAGCTTGGAGCTGGGATGAAGCATCCTCCCCTGCGTGGAATGGACTTGTTGCTGTCTGCTGTCGAGTCAGTTACAACAAACTAGGACTGTCCCTACGGTTTTCTAGCCTGGCATCAATAAGGGAGCAGATCACCACGTCTAATCTCCCACTGAGCCCCTGATAGCAGCTGAGTACTTAGGCACTGCGCCACCTGGGTTCCTGGACATGGTTTGATCCTACCAGTGTGAAAAGAATGTGCACCCAGCTTTCTTGAATCCGCTTTCCAGATGTGAGGCTAAAGGTCTACTAGTCAGGAAACAATCTACCAGTAATCAAAATGTCACAAAAAAAATGGGGTCCGGCTCTTTATTACAACGAAGCAAACAGTAAGTGTAGTGGTGGTATTAGTATTACTAATGCATAACGTTTATTTAGCGGTGGGCCAGTGGTAGAATTCTTACCTGCCATTCGGGAGACCTGTGTACCATTCACTCCCCGCCAGGCCCTCTCATGCAGAGCCCCCACTGGAGCCTTATGTGTTGCTCTGATGCCGAACAAGTTTCAGCAGAGCTTCGAGACTAAGAACTAGGAAGAAAGGCCTGGCGATATACATAGGCAAACGGGTATAGCTGTGGGCTGGGGGCCTCCCGAGACATCCCCCAGGTTCATTGACTGTAGGGAGACACCCAACATGCAGCATGGAGTTGAACACACACCTGTGATTACCTTCAAATCAAAATTAGCAAAGGAAAAAGGCACAAGGGAGTGAAGTCCACGGGAAACCAGGAGTAAGCTTCCTCTCCCCACAGAGTCCCACGGGACGCGCTTCATTCCCAATGCCACCAGTTGTGACAACATATGTGAAGTGTTGTCCACCAGGGAAATTCGCTAAAGACTCTGCCCCCAGAGCTTGTATGTGGGGCTGGTCACGTAGAGGCGTTCGTGACCTGGCATGTACCCAACTTGCAGACTCCTGCAAGGAAAGCAGGTGTCCAGCACAAACCACGTTTGTCCTGTTTAGACCCAATGAGCCACTCTTATCAGTTAGAAAGTGGAGGGAACTTCCACCTCATGGCCCAGGGTGGCTGTTTAAGCTCTCCCCATCAACAGCTGCATTCCAGTACTTTGCAAGCTAACCTTTCAAAAGAGGCCTGCTGTGTGGACTCTTCCCTGTTTGCCTGAATATTGAGAAAGGGAAGTGGCAAGGAGAAGGAGGGAAAAGAATCAAGGATGAGAAGGAGGTGGGATGATTTGGAAGGAAATTGGAGGGCAGGGTACAAGGAAAACTTTATGTGAGAGAGCTAGGAAGGAGAAGAAAAAAAATCTATTTGAAAATAGGATGACAGAAGAAACAAATCTTGAAAACCAAAAATGTAGCCCTCCGTCCTTCCTAGGAAGTCGGCAGATGAAGCATCCAGCCACCCTGCCAGTGGTAACCTCTCTAACTGTACCCATTGTCTACCTATTTTCCAGGCCTTTCTTACTAGTCTGTCTGGGGCTCCGTTGCCCCTCTTCTCCCTAGGAAGCTGGAGGCCAAGGGCCTGGCTACCCTGCAGATGATAATCTCACTGGTCTCTTTTCCCACAGCTGAGCCCGTCTCTGCTTCCCAGAAGCAAAGGTTCTCACTCAAACTGGTGAGTGTAGGTCCCTGGGAAGGGCCTGTGGCTATGGCAATGCATCCTTACCTCTGAGCCGCTCTGAGGGTGGGGCAGGTGGGAGAGCAAGGCCCGGGATCAGGACCCCTCTTGGCCTCTGGAATAGCTTCCTTGAACTGTCATTGTCAAACTCCACAAACCAGGTGGCTTAAATCAACAGCAAAGGGTTGTCTCACTGTTCTGGAGGCTGGTGGTGATTGTTGGTTGTCATGGCAACCTCACTTATGAGCAGACTTAAAAAAAATTTGTGGAGATATTCCTTTATCTTTTCTTTTTCCCCACGAGCTTTTTGAAGACACCCTCCTCATTCCTACCCCACCCCAATATAACAGAATAAAACATTGCCCAGTGTCATTTCCTCCCCCGCCCCCAAATAGATGAGGTCAGTCCTAGCTTCTGTGCCTGTGGTTTTGTCCCCATTTGGGCAGGAGTTGTCTTTGTTCTGTGAAGGAGGCAGGATTCGTGTAGGGTGTTCTTGAGTCAGTATCCCTTAAGATGTAAAGGGGATTTGACAAGGCAGTTGAAAAAGCAGCGTTGGGGGACGAGAGTTGGCAAGCCACTTGAAGATGGCTTAGAGCAGATGCTCAGAGAAACGAGAGCCTTCCTTCAGTGCCAACAGAGAAAGCCTTTCCCGAGAGCTGGCTTCCTGATTTCAAACTTCTAGCCTCCTAAACGGTGAGAAAATAAATTTCTTTTGTTAAAATCACCCATTTATGATAGTCCTCTGATCGCAGCACACTGGAGAACTGAGACACCTGGTCTCATGCCATCTTCATGGTCACTGTACGCCGTGATCCATGGTGACTGTTGTGTCGATCCATCTCATTGAGCGGTTCCCTCATTTTCGCTGACCATTCACAACGTCCTTTTCTAGCAATTGAATTTTCCTTAAGATTTGTCCAAAGTATGCTAGCCAAGGTCTCTCACCATCTTCTCGTGGGTTACAGTCTGAATTCAGGATGTCAGCAGGCCCAGGTCTTCTCCAAAAGTTGTCAGGGGAGAGCCCTCCTTGTCTCTCTCCACCCCTGGCAGCCCCTGACTTTCCTTGGCGTGCAGCTGTGACATCTCTTCAGTCTCTACTTCCTTCGTCACATGGCTGCCTTCCCTCTGCGTGTCTGTGTCTTTTCTCCTATTATGAGGATGTCTTCATACTGGATCAGAACCCACTTTACTTGAGCATAGGAGCCTTGGTGGTACTGCCAGATAAGCACTGGGATGCTCACAAGGTCGGCAGGAGAAGGATGGAACTGTAAAGATGTGCAGCCTCGGAAAGTCTGTACAGGAGCACTGTGAGTCTGACTCGACTCAGACAGTTCGCTTTTGAGTCCTCGAAAGGTTGGATAAGAACCTTAGTGGGCAGTGAGTTCCTGTGAACGGAGGAGAAACGACTCAGAAAAGGAGGCTGCAACTGAGAGAACGCAGCTCATGTCACTGGATTGCAAACAGAGACATTTTAATTGACGCATATTCTGCTGTGGACATTTTCAACAAGAAAAATAAATTGCAGTAAAATTTGTGAAAGCTGGAATCTATGTAAGACGGAAACCTCAAATGCAAGGGACTTCAAAAAGTTCATGGACAAATTCCATGTTTTCTTTCTATGTTTCCACAGGTTTTTGATGTCCCCCAGCCCTGTACTTCCCACTTTTAAAAAAAGTGATAGAAAAGTAATTCTGTAAAGCAGCAAACTTGGGAGACTCCTCCACCTCCCCACGAAACGGCAGTCTCGTCAGGTTACAACTCTCTCAGTTTTCACAGCATTTTAAAACAGAAACACCACAAGGGAGTGTCTTTAACAAACAAATTCATTTTCTCACAGTTTAGGAGGCTAGCTAGAAGTCTGAAATCAGAGCTCTGGTTTTAGGGAAAGGGTCTCTCTCTGTTGGCCCTGGGGGACGGTCCTTGTTTCTTTAGCTTCTCTGCCTTAGCTTTTTGGCAGTCTTCATGTGGCAGGGAAATCTGTCATCCCCATCTCTGCTGCCTCGCTTCCTTGTTTAATGTGTTCCTTTTATATCTCATAGGAGCCCTGGTTAAGAGCTCAGCTGCTAACCGAAAGGTTGCCAGTTCAAACCTAGTAACAGCTCCTTGGGAGAAAGAGCGGGGGTTTTTTCGTTTGTCAAGATTGTTGTTGTTATGTGCCATGGTGTCGGTTCTGACTCATAGCGACCCTGTACAGGGTTTCTGAGGCTGTAAATCTTTACGGGAGCAGAAAACCTCATCTTTCTCCCACGGAACAGCTGGTAGTTTCAAACTGCTGACCTTTCGGTTCACAGCCCGATTTGTAACCACTACGCTACCAGAGCTCCTTTCAGCCATGGAAACGCTGTGGGGCAATTCTACTCTATCCTTTTGGGTCACTATAAGTCAGAATGAACTCTAAAACAGCCCTGGGTTTTCTTTTTAATACCTCAAAGAGATTGGCTCAACATCCAGCCTATACTAATCCTGTCTTGTTCACAGAATGAAACAAATGCTTTCCCAAGTGGGATTGCAACCACAGGTCCAGGGGTTAGGATTTGCACCATATATTTCCAAGGGAACGAATCAATACATAACACATCCCCATTGGCCAGAATTTGTCAGATGATCATCCCTTGCTGCGAAGGAGACTGGGAAATGCAGTCTTTTGTTAATGGCCATGTACCTAGGGAGCACTTGTGGATCCTATCATTAAAAAAAAGAAGGGGAGCCTGGGTGCTGAAGACTACAAACAGCCTCTGATAACGTGTTGCAGGCAGCACCCCCGGGGCCTTTGGTTCTGTGGTGGGGACTTGACAACAGACATTGCTAGGATTGTCCTGGGACTGTGACGTATTGAGGGCTCTGGTCTCAGAGAGTACAGTATGACAGCCTCCTCTCCTGCCCCCACCAGGATGCCAAGGACGGACGTTTGTTCAATGAGCAGAACTTTTTCCAGCGAGCTGCCAAACCTCTGCAAGGTATTCTGGGGAAGTGGGCAGGGCGGGAGAGAAATGGGACCAACCTAGAAGGGACAGCCCACCTCCCTGTGGGTGTGGGAAGGGTGGAGATTTGAAACACAGATTCACGTCCTGTCTGTGCCCAAAGCCTGGCTTCTGTCACTCCTCAGGCCTCTGGCATCCTGTGTGTGCTAGGACCTGCCCGTTTTTGGTTTTGATTTTCTTACTGTGATGAAAATACACCAAACATTTGCCATCACATAACCCCCACATTTACTATTGTGTGACACTGATGACATTTTTCATGTTGGGTCACCATCCGTGCTACCTTTTTTCAAAAAGTAAACCCATTGCTCCAACCCAAACAAAGACTCCCTCTCCTCCTCTGTCCTACCCTGTAGCCATCAGTGATCCTTGATGTCTGTTGTTTGCTTATTTCTCATAAGTGAGAGCCCCGATTTTTGTCCTCTTGTGACTGACTGGTTTTGCTCAGTATGTGTTTGATGTTCCTTCACTAGTATTGCGGCATGCCTCAGGACTTCATTGCTCCTTAGGATTAAAATATTCCACTGCATGGAGAGACTTCATTGTGTTTACCCACTCATCTGTTGGTGGACATTTTGATTGTTTCCAGTTTGAACCAGTTCTTGATAGTCAAGTATTCAATTTTCAGGAATGTTCCAAGCCAGTAGGTAGTACAGCCAGAATGAAAAATTGACCTCTGTATACAACCAACACCTCATAAGATCTAGTTCCTTGGTTTGGAGGTTTCACAGCATTGTTCCATGGGACCGCCCAGTGAATTGGCCTAGTAACATACTTTATTGTGCAGCTCTTCTACCTCCCAGTCCCTTGCCTAGTACCTGGGGTCTTAAAAGCTTGCAAATGGCCATCCAAGACATGAAAGTTAGTTTCTATTCACCTGGAGCAGAGGAATAAAGGGAGTCAGGAGTAAGAGGAGGCTATGGAATGTGTGGCTAACTGCCTCCATGAACACCTACCACCCTTGCCATCGGACCAGAACTGCATGACGCCCGGCTACCATTACTGAACATTTTGATCAAAGATTCTACAGCAGAGTCCTGATCAAAAGGGGGAAATTGCAAAACAGAATGTCACATTCTATGGAAGGCAGGATGAACCCCTGAAACTATGACCTTAAGATAATAGTTAAACCGTAAGCCAAAACTATTCCCTAAAGTCACCTTAAAACTAAATAATAGTGTAATCATTATTTAGTAATTAGTAAACACTGTGTCTGCCTTGAGCTTTATGCTCTTTTAAGAGCTCTCTGTATGGGCTCAAAGTGACAATAACAACTTGAATGATTCAGGAGGAACCTTAGCGGGCAGTGAGTTAGTGAGAATGTGGAGGAACAACGCAAACGGAGGGTGAGGATTGGTGCCCAACTTGAATAAGACAAACTAGTGTCATGGAATTGTGCAGTAGAAACTACTAAATCCGTGTTACGTCTTGTTGTATCTCTTCTCAACGACAGCAGAATAAATAAAATTGAAAGACCACTAAAAAGTTAGAGTACGTAAACCTGAATAGTCAAATGTTGTTACGTGCCGTGCCGTGGAGTCGGTTCCGACTCATAGCGACCCTGTACAGGGTTTCCGAGGCTGTAAATCTTTACAGGAGCAGAAAGCCTCATCTTTCTCCCGCGGAACAGCTGGTAGTTTTGAACTCCTGACCTTGCGGTTCGCAGCCCGATTTATAACCACTACGCTACCAGAGTTCCTTGAATAGTCAAATAAATTCCATTAAAAACAAAGGTAATACAGTCTTAAGACTCAGTAGATCCTAATTATTTTACTGCCTTTTCGGTGGCTGGTGCTCTTGAAATGATTTGCATGTGTCGTTGTTGTCAGTTGTTGTTGTTGCTGTTATGTACCGTGAAGTCTGTTCAGCCTTATAATACTTACATGAATTGTTGGTGTTTTGTTGGGCACAATGGAGTAGCTTCCGGCTCTTAGAGACATCATGTGACAGAGTAGAACTGACTCATAGGGTTTCGTAGGCTGCCATCTTGATAACCGCAGGGTGGGTTTAAACAGCCAACCTTTGGTTCAGCAGCGTTTAACTGTGGCACCACCAGTTCTCCTTGTTTATATGGTAGAAATACTACTTAGTAGTGAGCTACGGTGCCCCAGTGGCGCACTAGGCTAAGTGATTGGACTGCTAATCACAGCCGGCAGTTTGATCCCACCAGGAGAAGCATGTGGCAGTCTGCTCCCATAAAGATTTGCAATCTTGGAAAGCCTCTGGGGCAGTCCTCCTCTGTCCTAGAGGGTCGCTGTGAGTCAGAATCGACTCCACAGCAGTGGGTTTGTGTTGGTTTCTCTGATGGCATCCGCATTCAGCCCTGCGACCCCCAGACATGGGTTACAGACAACTCAAGGGTCATCCACTGTCTCCTGTCCCCACCCACAAAGAGGCGGCCTTCCCCTAGGGGACAATAGTCTAACCAGGTCTGGGATTTGGGCGAGCTGTCCTTCACCTGTGCACCTGGGCTAGGTGAGCTCTAACTGCCAGCCTTCCGCAGTGAACAAGTGGAAGAAGCTGTATTGCACCCCCCTTCTGGCCATCCCCACCTGCTTCGGTTTTGGCATCCATGAGGACAAGTACAGGTGAGCTATCCCCAAACCACCCTCCTCTCTGTCCCCTGTCTTATCCCCTACCCTGCATAATATTGTGACCCTGGAACCCATAGCTGGTTGGTTTCTGTCCTCTTCCCACTGCTTTCAAGCAAGGTTGATGCCCAGCTGTTTTCCTGTCTTCCTGCTGCTATAACAAATGCCCTAAGTGGTTAGCTTTAAGGAACAGAAATCTACTTTGCCCATAATTATGTTGTTGGGCGCCATCAGGTTGGTTCTAGCTCACAGTGAGCCTGTGTACAAGAGAACAAACGCTGCCCGGGCCTCCTCCACGCATTGTTTATCCTCATCCTCATCACTGTGTGGGAGCCCATTGTGGCAGCCACAGCATCAGTCCTTGGGGTCTTCCTCTTTTCCGCTGAACCGTCCACTTTCCTAATCACAGTGTCCTTCTCCAGTGGCTGCTTCCTCCTGGTAACCCGTCCGAAGTGTGTGAGACAAAGTCTCGGCCACCCTCGCTTCTAAGAAGCTTTCTGGATGTACTTCTTCCAAGACAGATTTTTTTTTTTTTCATTTTTCTGACAGTCCAGTTATATTTGGTATTCTTCAACCATACCACAGTTCAAAATCATAAATTCTTTTTCAGTTTTCCTTATTCATTGTCCAGCTTTCACATGCAAATGAGGTAATTTGAAAAGAGCATGATGACTTAGGTCAGGTGTACCGTAGTCCTCAAAGTGACATCTTTGCTCTTTAACACTGACCCCTCGGTGTGTGCTGTCCATGGTTCTGACTCATAGCAACCCTGTATAGGGTGGATTTGAACCGCCGACCTTGCAGTTAGCAGCTTTAATGCTTACCCTGTAGCAACTCATCAGGACTCTTGTTTTATGAAGTGCCATCAAGTTGTACCCGACTCATAGCAACTGTAGCGGGTTTCCAAGGCTGCCAATCTTGGCAGAAGCAGAAAGCCTCTTCCCCGGATCCTCTGTGGTTTGTGGTTCGCTGTCCTTTGGCGCCATCGCGCTGACAGTTTGTTGTTATTTAGTGCTGTTGAGTTGGTTCCGGCTCATAGCGACTCTGTATAGGGCTTCCAGGGAGTGGCTGGTGAGTTTGAACCGCTGACCTTGCATTGCATACAGTGCTTATCCTGCAGCGCCACACTAGGACTCCTCAGTTTGTTGTTGTTAGGTGCTGTCGAGTAGGGTCCGACCCATAGCAACCCTATCTCCTGCCCCGGTCTCACATTCATTGTCATGCTTGAGCCCTTTGCTGCTGCCACTGTGCTAATCCATCTTATTGGGGTTCTCCCTCTTTTTCGCTGACCCTCCCCTTGACCAAATGTAATGTCTTTCTCTAGGAACTGATTCTTCCTGATAATATGTCTAAAGAATGAGAAAAGATATTTGACCATCTTGGCTTCTAAAGAGCAGTCTGTCAGAACAGTTTCCAATACGGATTTATTTTTTCTTCGAGTCATCCATAGTCCAAGTTCAGGAGGCCAAGATTCAGGATGTCCACTCTGGGAGAAGTCTCTGTATCTACTGAGAAACATCCTATCCTTGTCTCTTTCTACTTCGCTCCCTCATTTCCTTGATACATGACGTCAACTTTTTCTCCATCTCTGTTTGCTTCTATCTCAAAGATGAGTGGTTCAAAACACACCCTACAAGATTGTAATCATTGCAATGAAACGATGGTGTAAAACTGATGTTCTCCCATGTAAACTATCACTCAATTCACAATAAAAATTTTAAAAAGAAAAACACCAAAAAATCCTACAATGATATGGCCTCTTAACATATCCAAGAAAACCCATTCCCAAATGAGAATATAACCACAGTACAGCCCACTACCCTGGAGCTGATTCCAACTCATAATAACCCCATAGGACAAAGTGTGACACTGCAGGATAAGCACTGGACTTCTTAACCATAAGGTCAGCGGTTCAAATCCACCAGCCGCTCCTTGGAAACCCTATGCAGGGTCACTATGAGTCGGAACCGACTTGATGGCACTTGGACAATGATCAAATAATCTATATGGAAGTAGATTGTCAGGTCTTTCTCCTGAGGAGCAGCTGGTGGGTTCAAACAGCCAACCTTTTGATTTGTAGTCAAGCATCGTAACCACTACGCCAGGAGGCCTTCTCCAAAACCACAGGTAAGAACTGAGGATTTCAGTTTATCGCACCAACTAATCAGAACCCTTCTTCCTTCCACTTGATTCTAGAACCTCCTAGCCGCCTGGGAGGACTTGTGTGCCTTCCCTTCCCCCATCCGTCACCGCTGGGAGGCTCAGCCCTGCCCTGCCCAACTCAGGCCTTGTGTTCTCCAGGTTCTTGGTGTTCCCCATGCTGGGGAGGAGCCTCCAGTCAGTCCTGGATGACCACCCAAAGCACATCATATCGGAGAGGTCGGTGTTCCAGGTGGCCTGCCGGCTGGTATGTGCATCCTCACCCACCCAGCCAGCTCTCTCGCTGGGCCTGGTGCTTCCATCGCAGGTTCTGTCTGTGTGGGGTTCACCCATGTGTTCGTGTGCTGCCCGCATCTCACAGACGCTCGAGTCCTGCTGCTTGAGTTTGCTGCTGCTGTCTGAAACCATTGAGTCAGTGCCAACTCATAGCGACCGCCCCACAGGGTTTCCTAGACCGAGCAGACTGCCACCGTTGTTTTCTCCCACAGGGCAGCTAGCTTCAAACCACCGCCTAGCCACTCTACTAAGTAATTCTGCTCTAACAGGAAATTCCAAGGAGGACGGCTTTGTTGTTGCTGTTATGTGCCATCAAGTCAGTTCTGACTCACAGCCACCCTGTATTAGGGTTTCCAAGTCTTTATTCTCAGGAGCAGCTGGTGGGCTCCAACCGCCAACCTTGTGGTCACTGCTAATCCTGCAGAACCACCAGGGCTCCCATAACCGAAAGAACCACAGGTTGATGATTCTGAGAAACAGAAATTCCTCCTCATACCACTTAACAAACAACAACAACAACAACCCTCCCATTGGCGCTGTGGAAAAAGCCTTGGGCAGCAACTCCTCGGGAGAAAGAAGTTGTCGCTTCCCTAAAGATTTACAGTCTCGGAAATCCTATGTGTAGGGTCACTGTGAGTCAGAATGAACTCAATGGCGGTGGGTGGATTTTTCATCCCCCCCCAGTTACAGGCAGAGATGTGTGACCCCAGAGCTCCCAGCGGGGGTCCCCACACCAGGCTTTGCATCAGAGAATCTTTGGGTTTGTCTTGTTACTCACAGAAACACTCTCTTCCTTCTGTCCCCCAGCTGGACGCCCTGGAGTATCTCCACGAAAATCAATACGTTCATGGAAACGTGACAGCCGAGAATATCTTTGTGAATCCAGAGGACCTGGCCCAAGTAAGAACCAGCCCCTCCCCATCGTGTGGCCCCTCTGGGCTCAGATCCCCACCCATCCCCAAACCTTGGTTTATTTCACAAGTGTGTATTGTAAATCAAGAATTGGTATCCATCCTATATAAAGAGTGCCTTGAAGTAAATAAATAAATAAATAACTTAGTTAAAAAAAAAAAAAAATACAAAGAGCATTTTATACCTAGGTAAGGAGCTCTGGTAGCGTAGTGGTTACGAATCGGGCTGCGAACCGCAAGGTCAGCAG